GCTTCGTCAAGTGTATGGAGTGTGCCGGGGCATTAGCATGAAGTCTAGACATTATATCGCACATTTCGCTGGGGAAAATGTCGGTCCTCGAAGCAGCCCATTGACCAAGCTGTCCAGTGCCTAGGTTAGCCAACGAGTTCAGGGGCAGGATATTGCCATAGGCAGGCAGACCTTGATGAATGCCGGGCCAGCAGCCTCCATGCTCATAACCAAAAACTTGTACCACCATAACGTGCCAGATCTCTCGTGATCGCGGGTGGGCTGGCGAGGTCCAATCCATATTGCTGGCACTGACAGTATAACCGGAACGAATATGAAAACTAATTGGACGAACCGTATGCCGGTACACAAAGGCTCCCACAAGTAAAGGTCCAAAAGGATGACAAGCTTGTGTCCAAAGCGAAGCAACCCCCTCTCATCATCGTCAACAGTCTTTCTGATCTCCTCCCGCGACACCTCAAGCATGCGCCCCTCAGCCGTATGTTCGGTATGCTCATTGTCTTTCTCAGATAGCTTCACGAAAGCCGCAGTTCCGAGTGTGCCGCCGGTCACGGCTTTGAGAACTCTAGTTTGAACTCGGGGGTTTCGCCATGGTGCAGAGCCGGGCAGTCGGGATCGAAAAGTGGAATGCCATCGGCCGAGGCTGGCAGGGGTCTTTTGAGCGTGAAGGAGACTCCGGCGAGCAGAAAACCGGCTGAGTAGGATGGCCGGTCGCATCTCTACTCTACTCTATAATAATTGGAGACGACAATAGAAAGAGAGACTTAGCATGGTGGGCGAGTCCTTATAATTAGTCACAAAACGACACATTCATCCATTGCCTGTGCTTGCTGGCTTGGTTGCTCGAGGTGGGTTGGTTGGTGAAGTTCCTGGGCATGTCAGAACGCACGCGCATTCGGCGATTTGAATCGCGAAGAGTACCTGGGTACGGATTAGAGTGCATGACGTACATAACTAAGGAAAAACCTAGGCCTGTCACAAGCCTGTACTATTAGGTAGTTACAGTGGGCATCTGCTGCTTCTAAGATCTCCGATTGGTGCTCGGCAGAAGTGTGGTCAAGCATGTGTTGAGTACATACCTTTCGTACCGACGGCGTGGCGCTCCTCCGTCCATCACCCGCTTTTGTCATCAACCTTCAACATTTCATACTCGCGGTATAAAAAAAAAAAAAAAAGTTTAAATACAAAAGATACAAACCAAGTTCACGCGAAACCCTCGGATTTCTCAGGTTGAAATACCGACGCATCTCGTATTATTCCTCCTTATATCTACCTAAAACCACATCATCAATCACCATGGGCTGGTTCTGGGCGGAAGGTCCCAATAGCAAGTCCCAATTCGATCCTCTCGCGAATCGTCATTCGTTTTCCATCTCTCAAGATGGAGGAAGGTCACCACCCGTAAGTGTGCAATCCACCTCAACGATCCCCGATGCATTCTCATATTCCGTAGCCAGGATGTCCGATGCACAACCCCCAACAGGCTGCCGACATGATGGCTTCCTCTCCAGATAATTGCCCAGTGAGGCCCAGCCCGTCCGCATTCTCATCCGAGAGCCCATCAGCGTGTCCCGTACGGCACGACCGTCGAACCGCCCAGCCACGATCCGAATCGGAATCGACCTTCTCTCGGCTGAACCCCCTGAACTACATGTTCCGCGAGCTCTCACAAGCGCCGGCGCCGCACCAGACGCAGGCGCTGCCGACGTCGCGCGAGCCGTCGACGATCCCGCGCGGCGACGGCGACGGCAACTGGGAGTACCCGAGCCCGCAGCAGATGTACAACGCGCTGCTGCGCAAGGGGTACACCGACACCGATGTGACGGCCGTTGAGAGCATGGTGAGCGTGCACAACTTCCTGAACGAGGGCGCCTGGGCCGAGATCATGGACTGGGAGCGCCGCTTCGCCGGCGGCCTGTACAAGGGCTGGCGCATGTGCAGCCACGGCGAGCAGCACTTCGAGGACATGGTTAGGAAGCACGGGTACGAGAGGGAGGTCACCGAGCTGAGCCCCAGCCTCGTCCGCTTCCAGGGAAGGCCCAGCGAGTTGACCCCTAAGGCCGCTATGATCCAGGTCATGGGATGGCTATACCCAGGAGCGTTTGCGTAAGTTGGACTAAGCACTGAGAATTCCGCCGGCTAATGCGTATGCTAACGGTATTACCATAGAACTGAGCCTCCCTTTGATCGACACGATTGGTACGTCTCGCGAGAAGTGGGCGGCCAGAGGAAAGAAGTCCGGTACATCATCGACTACTATTCCGGACCGCCCGAGCCCACCGGCGAGCCGGTCTTCTACCTCGACGTACGACCGGCCATGACGCCGAGCGGCGCCGTCGAGCGGGCGCTGCGATGGGGCTGCGACGTCTGGTGGAGGGCCTCCGGGGGCGACGTGCGCGAGCGCGAGCGCGAGAAGAAGGTACAGGCATGAGAACAGCAGGCCGAAGCGAACGAGCATGGTCACCACAGCCGGTGACGAACTACATATATCATACGGGGCGTACGTGGGTGTTCGGTGTTCAAACGAGGACTGTACCATTACTTGGGCCGGCTTGGCATATATATTGTGTATTGTAGGGGAAACAACGCCTCTTGGTAACGCGTCACGATGTAAAGCACGAACAGACCTGCATTTCTCTTGTAATAATAGCCTACTTTGATGTTTGGCTTGCTATCATCGCCCCGACCTCGGACGTGACTATAACTTCCAACGTCAAGTCTCCTCGCTTTATTGGGATATACCTCCACATATCTTAGTCTAAGAGTTCATGATAGTCGGTCTAAGCAGCAAACCAATGTGGTCAAGTAAGCTTTATATAAGCATGATCTCGAGGATGTAGATATTACGGACTTTGTAACAATTGCCCAGAAGTGCTTCCAAGAGGTTCCTACCGGATGAGCTTCAGGGGATCGAAGGCCTGCCTAGGTAGAGCGCTCTGCTGCATTCCCAAAGTTTACCCAAGTTATCGATATTCAGGTTTGGGTCGTTTCTTATGAAAGTTAGTATTATAAGATTGACACTCAAGTCCTGTGGTCTTGTGGTACGATCCTAGGTGAGGAACATCTCAAACTGCAGAGACCCCATGCAACAAGTTTATGGCTTGTGACGTGCATCAGAACAGAGCGTAGGCCCTTTCAGCTCTGTCCCTAGGCGCGCAATCCTATTCTGCAGTCTCTTGTTGCTTCAAGTGTCCATCTCCTTGTGGCTCTGGCATCTACAGGGAAGCATTGCGTGGTGATCAAGTGTGATACAATGGTAAAGACAAAACCGACAATCGAGCAATGCCAGGACACAGCAACGCTTACAACAACATCAATACGGATAGATGAAGTATCGGGTAAGTGAGTAGAATTAAGCCACAACAGGTTGAACTCGTCTCGAGCTTAGCCATAAGGAGGGCATATGTACCCCACAGCCGACAACCCATGTAAGACGCTGTTCCGAAATCACGAATCCAACATGCGTATTTCGGGTCACCGAAGCATATGTTGTGCCTTCAAGTGACGCAATTAAAAATCCCACACTAGCCATGCTTCAAGCTTCAACGGCAGAGAGCCTATTAGATAAAAGAGAATTCATGCGGTGGGTTGCACGGCCGCGATCCCACGACCTAATATTATCGAGATGTTGCGTAACGTGTTCAGATCCTATCGAGATCTGGCGATGCGACAACGTGTCCAATCCGGGGACGCGGGATACATAAGTCGGCAGATTTCCTGCGAACCAATACAATTTGGGAATTGTAAGTAGCCATGGAGCAGGAGAAGCTAAACGCCTAGCTAGATCGATGTGTTCATCGCAAGTCTACAAACTCACGAATAGATCGAGCTTCAAAATACACCAACGAAATAAGTCTTACTACCTAGCCCAACCCAGCTTACGGGCGATTAGTAAGTCGAAGCACATCGCCCTCACAGTAAGTATTCCCAAATCAGAAAATCTTTATTTCAAATCACATGCCACGCGATGGCGATGCGCGCGATATTGACAATCTAGGCCAAACCATCCATCACGTACCGCATGTCGCAGAAGACTCATTATAGATATCTTCTCGAAGCAATAGACATGCTGCGCACACCTCACAACACATCCCACGCCCCGTTGATGCGGGGACTCGAGGGCTTGATCCTCGGCGGCCACCGGGCGACGCTCGTGGATGAACTCTGGATCGGCCTGCTGGCTCTGGAAGCAGTCGTGATCGCAGGTGTCCTGGGCCTCCGGGTCCTGAGTGCGGTGAGCGGGTCGAGAAATTGTAGTAGAAATTTAGCGATAGATAGGAATGTGAATATGAAAAGAAGTTAAATAAATCGCGGTGTCCTAGAGCGGCGTAATAGGTTACTACTTAACCTAACCCGGTGGTGACGGTGCTCCTATCCCCCTCGCCAAATCATTGCCAGTCTTTGCGATACGAGAAAGTTTACTATGTCAGAAAAGAAGAAAACAAAACAAATAAACAAAAAATTTTGTTGATTCCAAGAAGAATTTCGAAAACGGATAGGAATGCTGTGGACAATTAAGGTGAACCTAGGTTAGGGGTTTCTGTTAGTCAATGTCAATACTCTTGCAATGGTGCTTCTCTGGACTTGGACTTACACCCTCTGCATGCACCATCGATACCATATTACCCCTAGACTAGATTCGCCATGAAACGGTGAAATCCTGCTGCCTCTTGGTGAAGCGGGTGCCAAGTTGGTCTCTATGAAATGCCCGTCTATGGAATAAACAACAGGTCTGCATGCATACATAAGTCATGAATAGGCATGGATTATATGGCTGCTGACCCGTAGTTCTGCTGTGAAACTCTCACCACACTTGATGCCGGGTCCCGAGATGAGACATGCAAAACTGGCTCCCGGAAAACTGGAACGCTAAAAAAAAAAAAGAACCGTGTGGGATAAACTCCGCAATAGTTGATGCGGAAGAGGAGTAAAATTTTGCGAACAATTTCCATCAAGTTATTCAGAACTGAATTAGGACACGGAAAAAAGATAAAAATGAATGGACATTCTGGGAATTGAACCCAGGACCCTCTGCAAACACTGTACAAGTAGTGCGAAGCAGATATCATACCCCTAGACCAAATGCCCTGGATCGCGCCAAGCGCCGCTCGACGATACGATGATGCAATTTTGCTTAATTTTAACATATATAAGCTTTATAGCTATCTTGATTTAAAGGTTGGCAATCGATGCTTAAGTCCACGCCGAGCCGTTTTCTATAGATGTGTGTATTACTACTAATAATAAGTCTTTCCATTATTATCAGTTACTGCGTAGTGAAGTCTAAAGCTAATACTAAGGCGGCCTAACTTAAGTAACACCGACCGTACTTCGACGATAGACCAATCACATTCTACGAACTCTTATGTTTTGTACCTGCTTCCAGTAGAAAAATATTGTCGTTTAGAGAGAAACTTTTCATAGCTATCAGTTTCCCTGTTGCTCCAGCTATCTATTATGGACTGTCCTTGATAAGAGCGCTAGGTGTGAGGCTGATTAATACGACGACTTTATACTTCAAATAGGGTTCTCGAATCTACATACTGTCTCTTCTTCGACAAAGAAACTCAGCCCCGAGTCAAAGCAGTTATTACCATGTGATTCGTAATAAGACCCCTTCAAAAACCCCAGTTCTTGCTCGAATATTCTGAATCTAGGTTATACAAGTTGAAAGAATACACCGAGATAGCAGACATGCAAAAAGTTTATCTAAACGATGAAAAGGGGGATGAGTTGGGACAACATACCATAGGTATAATAAGTTCGCTAGAAGAAGTGCCCCTATATATAGGCATCCTTGGAAATATCTTTATACATGCAGACAATAGCCTTCTCGAGCACAGTCAAGTTCAGCTGTGGCAAACGATATATAGGTAGATATCATCGCAGGGGTGAGCTGGAACCTGACTGTGCAAGCAGGGTCAACATATCCATAACAATATATAGAAGTAGCTAAAGGTTTGGTAAATCGATTCCCTCGTCAATTTGCCGCTTATCTATTCCACAAACACTGGTTAGCCTCATTTGTGCGACTACTTGTCCTCCATAGTCTACAACAAAGCTTAGGCAAATATCTGGCAATAAAGACAAATTACGGCCGACTCGTTCCTGTGTTACGCACCTATTACGGTGTCATCATGTGAAGGAGACAACAAGCTGCTAGCAAGCAGTCCCGAAAACCTCGAGATGGCCGTCAGGCCAAATGGTAATCGGAGAAGAAGGCCAAGTTCCTCACATCAAACCTGTTTGCTCCTTCCCATCCGGCCGCTTCATGTGCAAGTTTTCGTTTGTTAGCTTGAAAGGACTCTGAGTCACAAAGATACTCAGAAACCGTGTCAGGGAGCTGTACTCATCCGTCTGAGTCGACATTGCAAGGCTGCGTTACGCAGGTTCTCGCTCGAGAAATTACATAATTTGCAAGTCATATCCGAGAAAATTTGTCTTCGATTTTCCACAAGACTCGACAGAAATCCTAGTACTGATTACCTACTATCATCAATTTCATTTCTCAAATCCACGAGGGGTTCCGCACCATCTAACAACCCTCCTTCCCACACAACACGACACGACTTATAACCATGTGTACAGAGACTAAGTATAAGGTTCGTTGTAGGAGATGCCACGGCGTCAAAAACACGGTCACCGAGCGTCATAGATGTTCTTCGGCCAAAGCGGTTAATCGAGCGTGGGGTGAATGCGGCACCAGGTCTGCGGTGGCGGGTCCGGATAGATTTGCTGAAATATGCGGAGTATGCAGACGGTGGTTGACTACACTGGAGAGGGCGGAAACAAGGGCGGAAACAAGGAGGGCGGAAACAAATAGGGAGGAAACAAAGAGGGAGGAAACAAAGAAGGCGGATAGACAATAAGTTGGCCAGGGAAATCACCATTCCCTGAGGTGCTTCTCCCAATGGGATAGCGGTACCCTCGATGCATTCAACATTCTTTCCAAATTCATTCCCCCCTCCCCCGTCCTTTCCCCTTCCCTCACCCCTCAGTCAACGCAGTATGTTAAAGACGGGAACAGCATGTCCATCGTTGCAAGCACGAAGCTACGCGCTTTATTTCAATGGTCCTGGAGAGGTACCCCATTTCGAATCATGCTTGGTTGTCTATCGGGTCATCGAACAAGGGGAGATTCTAGAAGGGTGAAGTTTTTCTGGGTCATTTGCGAGGCTTGCTGGAATGGGATTGTAGCATAACCTCATAGGTATAGTCTTATCATCGTCTTTTCAACTAGTTTGAAGAGTTTAATTTCCTTATTTATTATTCCAAATTCGCCTTTGACACCCGCACGGCAAGGATACGATTCTGGCGTTCAGCCTAATATCTTGCTAGTGACATGTTTTTCTCTTCGCGAGCCTCGTGCTGACGGCCATCTGTTAGTTATACTACCTATGGCCAGCCAGCACCTTGTGGCTCCCTAACTAGCTCGACGGCACGCCTAGGATTACTGAAATTGGTTATCCGGCGATGATTTGAATGGTTTCCGCCAATGAAAATGCCATGTAGTTGTGTAAGACCTAGGACACGCTTAAGAAAGAGCTATACCTAACTGTGAAGTAGCCATTCGTTCGTACCAAGCTGCTTTGCGTTGACCCAAATGACACACGGTCACTTGGATAGATTCTAGATTGCTCGAATTCCAAGTCTGGTTAACCCAGTGATTCAAGTATTTGAATATAGTAAAAACGCTACAACAGTAGCCGTTTCTATTAATATCCCCAAAGCGGCACATCGCTCGATTTAAAGTTCCAATAAGCAGTAACTATATGCTTAGTCAGGCTATCGGGCTTACTTCTCACGTGGTGACCACAACTGCATATGAATGAGAACGTTGGCTGCGTGGAATTTTGCTCGAGAGAGCCAGGCTTGCCTGTGATGTCTCGCCAGGTCTGCGGAGACGGTCTCACTTAATAATTCGTAAGGATAACTTGTAAGGTATAATAATATTTCCCGCGAATTTATATAACGGATGTTATAAGAAGTGCTCACTGGCAGACAATAGGAAGTACATGTAGACTTGTCACTCCACGTCTCTATGCAGGGTATTGGCGGGAAAATCGGTTAGTCCTGAGTTAGAAATTGGAATGGTCTTATACTAGTTTGGAGCGGGGCTCTAGTTCGAGTTTCTATATATAACCTCGTAGGACTTGTACTGAGTTCCCCTTATTTTATCGCGGCTAGGAAACTGCCGTGTTTATACAATCGGTGGCCAGAGTGCCGGATCAAGCTGCATGCATGTACAGACCAAGGTCACAGTGATTTCGAGTGCAAGTACTGTCGGTGATGAAATAATGACATTATCTTCTCCAAGTTGAGGTTTCATTGCACCATCGCCAATTTGAGAAGTACTACCCGCTTGGGTCATATTATAGTTTGGATGAGCCACGATATTATTCATTCTACAACCACATTAGTAATGTTGGCCTAGTGTACATACTGATACGCGTCGACCCCGCATGGAACCGACTTCTCTTCCATGGAGTGATAAATATATCAGGGGACCGGGTCTCATGCTCGGTGCTCTATTGTGAAGTCATCTACTAAACTTGGGTTGACGCCGTAACAAGACTGCCCTCAGGCCCACGCGAACCACCAGGATTTAGGAACCTGCAATCACTTACACGAGTTCAACATTTTGCTCAACGAATATTGTCAGCTATGTCGACCTCCGTTCTCCTCTCAGGCGGGACAATCATAGCGTTTAACGCAGAGACTGAAGACCTCAACGTAATCCGCAATGGTTCAGTGCTGGTGACTCATGACCGCATCGCCGCGATACACGACACGGCACATCCGAGCGACGTGCCGGCAGGCACAGAACTCGTTGATTGCACACACAAGATCATTTCACCCGGCTTCATTGACACACATCGCCATGGTTGGCAAACGGCGTTGAAGACGCTGTCGCCTAACACGAACCTGGCTGACTACCTCCATCGATACATCGGACCCGATGTCTCCTCCCTCTACACGGCCGAAGACGTGTATATCGGGCAGCTCGCAGGCTTGCTCGAGGCCCTCAACGCCGGCGTCACTACGACGCTCGACCACGCCCATCACACGTGGTCTACTGATAGAACCAAAGCCGGCCTGCAAGCATCCATCGACAGCGGCGCAAGGGTCTACTGGAGCCCTGGCTTCGGCAACATACGAGGGGACTACTCGATCCCGGACCAGATCGCGGACTTCAAAGAGCTAGTGGCCTCCAAGCCCAAAGCAAATGATCTCACAACCATCGGCGTCGCGTACGACATGTGGACCGTGGCGTCGCCTGATGATACCCAGGCGGTGATTGCATTGGCCAAGTAATATATGACTTTGTTTCACACTGTTTTTCCCATATCAACTAACAGCCTACCAGGGAGCTGGAGATCCCAGTCATCACCACGCATTACGTCGGCGGCGTCTGGCCAAGTACGTTTCTCCCCATATCACCGTCGCATGCATAGGTATCCCCACAACCCCAACTAACACGGCACACGCGTGCGCGCAGTAGGAGAGTCCTCGCCGGAACTGCTGCACTCCCTGGGCATGCTGGACATCCCCGCGGCGGTGGTGTTCTCGCACGCGGCGGCGCTGACGCCGACGGGGGCGCGCCTGCTGCGCGAGACGAACCAGTTCGTGTCGATCACGCCCGAGTCGGAGATGCACTACGGGCACGGGCACCTGCACGCGCACCTGGTGCAGGACCAGGCCGCGCTGGGCGTCGACACCCACCTCGCCTTCAGCAGCGACATGCTGACGCAGGCGCGCCTGTGGCTGCAGCGCACGCGCTCGCGCCTCTACGACGAGGTCCTCGATCGCTGGCAGGTCCCCGCCAACAACCCCATGTCCGTCGTGCAGGCGTTCCAGCTCGCCACCCGCCACGGGGGGCTCGCACTCCGCCGCCCCGACCTCGGCGTTATCGCGCCCGGCGCCAAGGCCGATCTCGTCGTCTTCGATGGTCGCTCCCCCGGTATGCTTGGCTGGGTCGACCCTGTTGCCGCTGTCGTCCTGCACGCGGGCGTCGGCGATATGGTGCATGTGATGGTGGATGGCAAGTTCCGGAAGCGCGACGGCAAGCTGACGTTCCAAGGGTACGA